CATCCTCATCCCATTAATGAATGAACAAAAAGCTGTTTCAGTACAGTTACAGCACTGACATCTACCTGATAATGTGGAAAATTGCCCAGTTATGTCCTGTACATAAAAAGCAGAACAAATATAACCTGGCCAATTACTACTCCATAAATCTACTCTCGATCATCAGTAAAGCGATGGAAGCAGCACCTGCTCAGCAATAACCGCTACAGTCCATGTGCTGTGAGTTGACCCACAATGTCCTTAGGGAGGGAATTCCAGGATTTTGACCCAGTGACAATGAAGGAACGGCAATATATTTCCAAGTCAGGATGGGGAGTGGCTTGGAGGGGAACTTGGAGGTGATGGTGTTCCCATATGTCTGCTGCCCTTGTACTTCTAGATGGAAGTGGTCGTGGGTTTGGAAGGTGCTGTCTGAGGATCTTTGGTGAATTTCTGCAGTGCATCGTGTAGATAGTACACACTGCTGCTACTGAGCGTCGATAGTGAAGGGAGTGAATGCTGCTTTGTCCTGGATGGTGTCAAGCTTCTTGAGTGTTGTTGGGTCTGCACCTATTCAGGAAAGTGGGGAGTATTCCATCACATTCCTGACTTGTGCCTCATAGATGGTAGACAGGCTTTGAGGAGTCATGTGGTGAGTTACTCGCCGCAGTATTCCTAGCTTCTGGCTGGCTGTTGTGTTTATGTGGTGAGTCCAGTTGAGTTTCTGGTCAATGGTAGCCCCCAGGATGTTGATGGTGGGGCATTCAGTGATGGGAACACCATTGAATGGCAGTGAGCGGTGGTTAGATTGTCTCTTATTGGTGATGGTCATAGCCTGGGCATTGTATGGTGTGAATGTTACCTCATGTTGTAGTTAGTCAAGAGGTGGTCAAAGGAAGAACAACCAACCATCTCTATCCTATCCTTAACAACCCAAAACAATCTGTTAAAGTGACAGGACCCACAATGACCCCAAAATGTACCCAGTTTTGATGAGAGATTATTGATCTGAAACATTAACTCTGTTTCTCTCTTCTCAGATACTGCCCGACCTACTGACTATTTTTAGATATCCTGGTTTTTAATTTCAGATGTTTAGCATATGCAGTATTTTGGAAAGGATTACAGCGATAATACCATCCAATTATAGTCTCCAAGTATCTCAGATTGTGGGAACTGAGAGTAATGCAGTTATACCTGTGCCCGAGACACTGGGCATGATAACCAGGAATTCCTGAGGGAGGTTACACCTCTGTTGATGTTGTTCTAACTTCATTGCTGCTATGTATTTACTATGTGATGAATGGAGTGCAATAGATATGCATACAAAAACATTAGTTTCTAGAGTTTACATTTCAAACTCGTGACATATGGGTGTTGGTGTTTTTGTTTACATTTATTGATTCACAAGATGTGGGCATCACTGCCTGGGCCAGCATTTATTGCCTATCCCTTTTTGTTGAGTCAACCCCATTGCTGTGGATCTAGAGTCACATGTAGGCCAGACCAGGTAAGGATGGCAGTTTCCTTCTGTAAAGGAGATCAGTGAACCAGATGGGTTTTCCAACAATTGACAATGGATTCACGGTCATCATTAGATTCTGAATTCCAGATTTTTGTTGACTTCAAATTCCACCATCTGCTGTGGCAGGATTCAAACCCAGGTCCTCAGAACATTATCTGGGTCTCTGGATTAACAGTCCAGCAATAATACCACTAGGCCACCACTTCCCCAATGGCAGGGGGCTGGGATCCTCAACAGTAGGGAGGCAAATACAAGGCTGTAAGGAGATACAGTAATCAGAAATAGCAAGTTGAAGAGACAGGTCAGGACAGTGGGGGGAAATGCCTGTTGGATTAAATTGCATCTATTTCAATGCAAGAGGGTTGAGAGGTAAGGCCGATGAACACAGGGTGTGGATAGGTACGTGGGGCTGGGATATTATAGCCATCACAGAAACATGGCTAAGGGAGGGACAGGACTGGCAGCTTAATGTGCCAGGGTACTTGTACTTTAGGCGGGACAGAGGTAGAGAAAAGAGGGGAGGGGGAGTTGCATTTTTGATTAAGGGGAATATCACAGCAGTAGTCAGAGATGAAATAACTGAGGGATCATCCAGTGAGGCTTTGTGGGCAGAACTAAAAAAAAAAAGAAGGGGATGGTGACATTATTAGGGTTGTACTATAGTCCCCCAAAATAGTTAACAGGAATTAGAGGAACAAATATGCAGGGAGATTGGGGAGACTTGCAGGAGAAATAGGGTTGTCATAGTGGGGGGAGTTTTAATTTTCCTAACATAGACTGGGACTGACAGTGTTAAGTCCGCGTACTAGGTTGGTCTCCTCTTACTTCACTAGTGTCTGTAAGTGGTTGGTCCCAGACTAAAAACAGACACTGAGAAGACCGTACTAGTGCGAATTGAATTATAACTACAGAGATGCCAAAAAGACTGACTTCCTGGCTGCGCTGGAATTGACACTAAGAGCAACGGACTCATGGACTCATGGAAGAAGTACAACAGACCATCAGACAGACGATAGTCCCAACACTGAGCAAAAAAAGCAAAGTGGAACACATTCAACACAGAAGAGAAGAAAGCCCTGGAAAGACTCAAGACAGACAGGATCATTGTAATCTTACCAGCAGACAAAGGATGCATGACAGTAATCCTCAATAGAGCCCAATACATCGAGAAAGCTAACATACCACTTGCAGATTCTGACACCTACCAACAGGTGGCGACAGACCTGACACCACAGTTAGGCAATTGGTTTACAATGGCCCTGAAGAAATTACACAACTCAGGAGAGATCAGCAAGACAGGCTACCAAGAAATGAAGCCAGAGGGATCCAACACACCCCGCTTCTACAGACTCGCCAAGGTACACAAACGGTGGGGGGGGGTGGGGGGCGGGGGGTGCTCAGACCCACTACAAAACACACCAACATATAGACTTGTCAAAGAACTATCACAGAAATTCACATACTCAGCTGACAACAATACCCACTCCATCCACTCCTCCCAAGAATTCCTCAACATCAAGGACACCAGGAGAGAAGAGGACGAGATGATGATATCCTTTGATGTAACAACACTATTTACATCCATAAACATCGACCTAGCCAAAAGAGACAATTACCCATACTACTGGACAAGTCAAGTAGGCAGGCACCCCAAGATACCAATAAGGACACCACCATGAAACTACCAGATCTGTGCCTCACAACCTACTTCACCTTCAATGACAGCATATACAAACAAATCAACGGAACACCAATGGGATCCCCAATATCAGGGCTGATTGCAGAAGCAATAATGCAAAGGTTCGAATGGGCAGCACTCCCCACTATACAACCCAAACTTTGGGTCCGAAATGTAGATGATACCTCAGTGATTATCAAATGCACAAAACTAGAAGAAACCCACCGACACACAAACAACATCCTCACCAGGATAAAATTCACAAAAGAGGAGAACAACCACCCTTCCTGGACATAATGGTACAACACAAAAACAACTGAGAACTCCAGACTAGTGTAAAGAGAAAGACCACACATAAGGATCAGATACTCAAATTACACCACAAACAGAGCTGCATCAGGACACTATCTAAATAAGCCACAAACCATTGCAGCAAACCTGGAACTATGCAAAACAAAACAGGAGCACCTATGCAGAGTCTTCAAAAGGAATGGATACATGAGAAACAGAATCCACTGTTACCTCCATGACAGACAAACAGAAAGACACAACATGACTAGACACTAGTTACGCTACAGTACATCATAGATGACCACGAGACTACTCAGACCCCTAGGTATCAGGATAGCCCACAAACCAACAACCACTGTGCAACAGCTACTGACAAAAGTAAAGGATCCCATACACAAACCCAGCAAAACTGGAGTAATATAGAAAATACCACACAAGGACTGAGAAACACTACATAGGCCAGCCCAGAAGAAAACGGACAATAACGTTACATGAACACCAACGAGCCACCAAGAGACACGACCAATTCTCACTTGTCTCACTACACGGACAACAAGGGACACAGTTGACTGGGACAACACACCCTTAATCACAAGCCAAACAGACACATGCCAGGGAATTCCTGGGGGCCTGCTATTCCAACCAGAACTCCATCAACAAACGTTGAATTGGACCCAATATACAAACCACTGAGAAACAGAACCAGAAGTGATACCAACCACCCCAACAAACTGAGGTATATAAACAACAAGTGAGACAGAACACCAACTCGTCACCAGAGGCGCACTGACAATGTTATCTAGCAGGGCACAAAACATCTACAAACACACACACCGGCTCGGTGAGCAAGCCTCATCCGCAACCCAAGCTACAAATCTTCTCAAAACTTTAAAAAGTTGTTTTCAAGCTGAGAGTGTTTTGACTAAGCCCAAAAAATTCCAGAATCTTCAATCCAAAATCTTAACACACTATAGTATTTACCTGGTTCACTTGTAACCTCTCCCAGTGTAAAGAGTTTTCTATTAGACTCCAAAATTACCTCGCTCACAGACTGTTTATGAAAAACAATACCATGGTTACAAAAATACTTGAAAGTTGATCATTTAAACCCTTTCAGACAAAGAAATTCCATATGTCACTAGTTCAAATTAAATAATTAATCTCTAAAATATATTAGAGAATATATAAATGACATCACAAACACGTCCAATTGCACAGTGTGTTTAGTTAAAGAATGAATTGGTAAACGGAGAAGCGCAAGAAGTTCAACTAGAAAAAATAGATTTTTTTTGGGGAAGTGAACAGGTTCAAAAATATTGGCCTCACCAAATTTGATAGAACAATCAGTGGAGGCAAAAGAAACTAATGTATTACAGGAGGATCATTCTGGATTGTTTCCAGACTAGATCTCAGGCCCATAGACTCCTTTTTTCTTCCAGTCTGATTCTATGAAAACGAGAGATGATTTGGAATACAACTTTTGAAATTTAATTAAACAGGAGGAAGGTAAAGAGAATGAAACTAAAATGTTTGGCCAGTATTCTTTAATGGAAATGCAACAAATGTGCTCTGAATTAAGAATTATATTAACAGTTTATTCAGAAATTAAAACCAGAAACAATACTGGAGCTTTGTTATTTGAAAGACAAAGTATTTCATGAGGGAAAAGAGACCATGTCAAATATCAGCCACTGAGGAATGATCCATCAGGTAGTAACTCCATCTGAGTACTCAAATGAAATTTTACAATTGGTTCATGAAATTCCAAATGGCAGGTCACTTGGGTATCAGGAAGACAGGCTAAAATATTAAACCATTTTTTATTGCCAGGATTACATAAAGATGTGATCAAATTTTGCCAGGCTGGCCTACATGCCTGGAAGTGGGGAAACATCAACTCTCAATTAAACCTACTGAAATAAGTCACCCTTTATTTACACGTACATAGTACATGACACTGATCCAGCCAGCTCAGAGCTGGCTCCTAGATTGAGCAGAACCCTTGATACTCCTGTTTATATCTGTCAGCCAGGGAGCCCTGATTGGACCAGATTAACAGCCCCAATCAGGGAACTCATTTTCTTTGAAATCCACCTGGCTGACCTCATTACAATCACTACACCTACATCTTTAATTTTTATAGCATTAAAGAAACATTTAGCAGTTCTTAAATAGATTATTTTGGACTCACACCTAAATTTAGGAATAGGAATCAATATCTTTTCATGATTATAGATGTCTCCAAAAGATCTCCTGAAGCAATATCTTTAGGAAGAATTCCTGCAAAGGCAGTAGGAAAAAAGCTGGTTCAATTTTTTTAAAGTTACGAATAGCTGAAAGAAATACAATTAGATCAAGGTTCATACTTTAAGAGAGGTTACAGAAATAGGGAGGAGTGTACGGGCTGGAGGAAACTACAGAGATAGGAGCTGGAGGAGGTGACAGAGATAGGGAGGGGGTGTAGGGGCGAGAGGAGATGACAGAAAGGAGGGGTGTAGGGGCTGGAGGGGGTGACAGAGATTGGGAGGGGCTAGAGGAGCTAACAGAGATAGGGAGGGGATGTCAGACCCTAACAAACTGCAGCAGATAAATGGTTTAAAATGCTCCAGTTTCATCAAAATGTCCACGTAACCTATAAACTGTGACTGGGTGCTCGGTTGAGGAATGATTGAGAGTGCTCAGAGATTCATACTGTCATTGCAGTGTTCACCAGCCATTCTGTTATTATGCTCATTCTTCATCCTGGTGTGCTTGTTCGTCGTTTTCACATTTCTTGGAAGACCTGTGTCACAATAAGCCATTGCCAGCTGATAACAGAAGGTGTACTGATCCTGTGGAGAGGGGAAGACAGTCATCACATCTTAGAAATCATGTCAACAGGGTCACCAAATCCTGATGAAAGACCATATTCTTTATGTAAAGCAGTCCTGACGAACTGTGTAAGGATTCCAATGACAGAGGATGGTTGTGGTTATTGGAGGTCAGGTATCCCAGCTCCAGGACATCGCCACAGGAGTTCAAGGTAGTGTCCTCACCCCAACCAACTTCTGCTGCTTCATCAATGACCTTCCCTCCATCATAAGGTCAGAAGTGGGGATGTTTGCCAATGATTGCACAATGTTCAGCACCATTCACAACTCCCCAGATACTGAAACAGTCTATATAACATGTACAAGATCTGGACAATATCCAGGCTTGGTCTGACAAGTGGCAAGTGACATTCATGCCACACAAATGCCAGACTATGACCATATGACACAGATCTCTGCTCATCCACACGACCAAGAATCTTACCATTAGCCCAGTACTCTGCATTCCTGTTACTCCTCCCAAAGTGAATCACATCACACTTTTCCGCATTAAACTCCATTTGCCATCTCCCAGCCCAGCTCTGCAGCTTATCTATGTCCCTCTGTAACCTGCAACATTCTTCCACACTATCCACAACTCCACCGACTTTGGTGTCATCTGCAAATTTACTAACCCATCCTTCTACGTCCTCAACCAGGCCATTTATAAAAAATGACAAACAGCAGTGGCCCCAAAACACAGATCCTTGCGGTACACCACTAGTAACTGAACTCCAGGATGAACATTTCCCATCAACCACCACCCTCTGTCTTCTTACAGCTAGCCAATTTCTGATCCACATCTACAAGAGCAGGTCAGAAGCTAGGAATACTGTGGCGAGGAACTCACCTCCTGACTCCCCAAAGCCTGTCCACCATCTACTAGGCACAAGTCAGGAGTGTGATGGAATACTCCCCACTTGCCTGGAGGTGTGCAGCTCCAACAACACTCAAGAAGCTCGACACCATCCAGGACAAAGCAGCCGCTTGATTGGCACCACATCCACAAACATCCACTCCCTCCACCACCGACACTCAGTACACACTGCTGCTACTATCTACAAGATGCACTGCAGAAATTCACCAAAGATCCTCAACCAGCACCTTCCAGACCCATGATCACTTCCATCTAGAGCACAGAACATAGAACAGTAGAGCACAGCACAGGCCCTTTGGCCCATGATGTTGTGCTGAACTTTTACCGTAATCCTAAGGTCTATCTAACCTCCACCCCTACCTTATACCATCATCCATATGCCTATCTAATAGCTGCTTAAATGTCCCTAATGAGGCCGACTCCACTACCCTCTCCAGCAATGCATTCCACGCCCCTACCACTCTGAGTAAAGAACCTACCTCTGACATCTCCCCTATATCTACCTCCACTCACTTTAAAACTATGCCCTCATAATAGCTACCTCCACCCTAGGAAAAAGTCTCTGGCTGTTCACTATCTATACCTCAGATCATTTTGTACACCTCTAACAAGTCACCTCTCATCCTTAGTCTTTCTAAAGAGAAAAGCCCTAGCTCTCTCAACCTTTCCTCATAAGACCTTCCCTCCATTCCATGCAACAGCCTGGTAAATCTCCTCTGCACCTTTTCCAACCCTTCCACATCCTTCCTGTAATGAGGCGACCAGAACTGGACACAATACTCCAGATGTGAACGAACCAGGCTTTTGTATCGCTGGAGCATAACTTCACGGCTCTTGAACTCAATCCCTCTATTAATGAAAGCTAACACAACTTACACCTTCTTAACAACTCTATCCACCTGGGTGGCAGCTTTCAGGGAACTGTGGACATAAACCCCAAGATCCCTCTGCTCCGCCACACTGCCAAGAATTTTTCCGTTAACCCTGTATTGTGTTTTCAAGTTTGTCCTTCCAAAATGAATCACCTCACACTGTTCAGGGTTAAACTCCATCTGCCACTTCTCAGCCCAGCTCTGCATCCTATCAATGTCCCTTTGTAACCTAGAACAGCCCTCCGCACCGTCCACAACTCGACCCACCTTCGTATCGCCCGCGATCTTGCTAATCCACCCTTCCACTCCTTCATCCAAATCATTTACAATGATCACAAATAGAAGAGGACCCAGAACAGATCCTTGTGGTACACCACTTGTAACTGAGCACCATGTTGAATATTTTCCGTCCACTACCACCCTTTCTAGGGGTCAGCCAATTCTGAATCCAATCTGCCACAATTCCCCCTATCCCATGCCTCCTCACCTTCATGAGCCTACCATGGGGAACCTTGTCAAAAGCCTTACTTAAATCCATGTATACCACATCCACTGCTCTACGTTCATCCACGTGTTTGGTCACCTCTTCAAAGAATTCAATAAGGTTTGTGAGGCATGATCTACCCCTCAAATCAAACTGTGCCTAAGTGATCATAAATTGTATCTCTCAGAGCCCTTTCCAATAATTTGCCCACCGCGGACGTTAGACTAACTGGCCTGTAATTTCCAGGGTTATCCCTATTCCCTTTTTGAACAAGGGAATGACGTTTGCCTCTCTCCAATCTTCCGGCACTATACCCATGGAGAGTGAGGACGAAAAGATCATCGCCAAAGGACCTGCGATCTCTTCCCTCATTTCCCATAGAATCCTTGGATAAATCCATCAGGTCCCAGGGGACTTATCTATCTTCAACTTCCTCAAAATTCCTGGCACATCTTGCTTACTAACATCAACCTCCTCTAGCCTACCAGCCTGTTTCACATCGTCCTTCTCTACAACTAGGTCCCTCTAAGTTGTGATTACCGAAGAAAAGTATTCATCAAGGATCTCTCCTATCTCTTTAGGCTCTGTGCACAAATTCCGTTTAGGATCCTCCATTGGCAGCAGATACATGGGAACACCACCCCCTGCAAGTTCCCCTCCAAGCCACTCAACATCCCGTCTTAGAAATATATCGCCATTCCTTCACTGTTGCTAGGTCCAAATCTTGGAATTCCCTCCCTAAGGACATTGTGGGTCAACCCACAGTTGGTGGACTGCAGCATTTCTAGAAGGCAGCTCACCCCTACCTTCTCAAGGGCAACCAGGGACGGGGCAAGAAATGCTGGCCAGACATTGGCGCCATATCCCATCAATGAATTAAAAAAACCCAGCAAATGCAAGTGCAACATCGCATTTGATTGGAAAGGAGAGGCAGGTCAATTATTAATGAGTACTGGGATGAGTGATCTGGTGGCCCACGCTTCACAGTGTTGATAACCTCATCATGTTGGTCAGTGGTCCGAGGGGGCTGACCCACTCACTGTTTGTGGCTTATAACATGGGATAAGTGATCCAGTTGTTGATAGCCTGGGCCCAGTGATCTGGCAACCCAGTCACTGATATTGACAACCTGGAGCCAGCAATCAGGAGATCCACTCACTTTTTGGCCAATATACTACATATGATCTGGTGACCATTGCTAGCCTAGGACCAGCGATCTGGTGATCCACTCACTGTCTTATTGCTAACCCGGGGTCAGTGATACGTGATCCACTCAATATTGCAAATAACCTGAATCTAGTGATCTGGGTGATCCAGTCACAGTGACATTGATTACCAGATCACTGACTCCAGGTTATCAACTAACCAGGAACAAAAACAAAGTTGCTGGAAAAGCTCAGCAGGTCTGGCAGCATCTGAGAAAGCGTCACCGGACCTGAAACGTTAACTGTTTTCTCCTCCACAGATGCTGTCAGACCTGCTGAGCTTTTCCAGCAACTTTGTTTTTGTTCCTGATTTACAGCATCCGCAGTTCTTTTGGTTTTTAATCAACTAACCATGTTGTTGTAGACTGGGTCCCTTGATCTGGTGATTCACTCACCACATCAATAACCAGAGGCCAGTGATCTGGTGATCTGCTCACTACACTGTCGATAACCTGGAACCAGTGATCTGATGATCCACTCACTGTAGTGTCAATAACCCGGGGCCAGTGATCTGGCGATCCACTCACCATGTTGTCGATAACCTGGGGCCGGCTGCTGCGGATGGTTTTAACAGCCTGGAACACATCTACCAATGCCTCCTGCACAATCTGCTGACAGACGAAACTGGCAGCACAGAACAATCCACAGCGATTCGCTCCATCCCTGTGGGGGAATCACCAATCAGGTAGAGGCTGGATCAACCCCGACTCCCTTTCTTGTTGCATCGATGTTCCCACTCCTCTTTCTCTCACCCACCTCCCCTACATTCAATACCCGCACCCTCTCCACACTATTCCCCCAACCCCCATCCCCACCCTTGCAACTCCACCTTGCACACCTCCCCCACCACATATCTCTCTCCAGTTCCTACTAGAGCGTGTGAGACTACGAGTATAAGTTGGAGAGGCTGTGTTACGGTGAGAGAATACGAGAGACTGTGAAGGTGTGAGGAAATGTCTGTTATGGTGTGCAAGAGTGTGTAAATTGGAATATGCAAGTGTGTGAGAATGAGCGTACATCAGAGTGTATGAGGAAGGTGTGAGAGTGTGTAAAATCGGAGTGTATGAGGAGGGTGTGAGAGACAGTGTGTAAGTCAGAGAGTGTGAGGAGAATGTCAAAAATATCTGGTTCTTTTCACTCACCAGCAGGTCACAAGGATCGGTTTATTGCCATTTTGTTGTTGCCATGAATCCAGCTCCTGCATAATCCTGATGATGGAATTCGGAGATTGAGGGACCGGTTCTCCCATTGGCCAGTTATCAAGCTGCAGAACTTTAATCTCATACTTTACATTCTGTAACAAGAAAAATCAAACCTAAGTGTTCTGTTCCAAGTTCATGTGATTACTAGACAAGTCAGAGTCCAGACTATAGCCCAGACTGATCGATTGTCTTTTCTTCTTTCTAATTTAATGTGTTGGCGTTTCACTGAAACGTAAGCACATGTTGCTGCAGATTTGATTTTAAACAATGAAACAGAAGTTCATTACACTGAAGAAATGAAGATAACATGGAACAAAGCAAACTATTTACATATTAAGCAATTTGAAAGATTTCAAAACACATGGAAAAGCAAACTCTAACCTGTCCCAAAGTCATCCCTTTCCATTACTCAAATCCCACAGATAGATCCCTTCATTCATAGGGACCCCTCTCTCCGCGACTCGCTCATCCACTCCACACTCCCCACTAGCCCCACCACCTTTCCCTGCAGCTGCAGGAAGTGCTACACCTGCCCCTACACCTCCCCCCAAGGCACCAAACAAACCTTTCACGTCAGGCAGAGGTTCACCTGTACATCCAACGTGGCCTAATGTATCCGCTGCTCCCGATGTGGCCTCCTCTACATCAGAGAGAGGAGGCTCGGAGACCACTTTGTGGAACACCTATGCTCAGTTCGTGCCAAACGACAAACGCCTTCCAGATGCGAATCATTTTAACTCCCACTCCCTGGGCGACATGTCCATTCTGGGCCTCCGCCAGTGTTACAATGATAACACCCAGAAAATGGAGGAACAGCACCTCATATTCCACCTCAGGAGCCTACATTCCAATGGCCTCAATGTGGACTTTACCAGTTTCAAAATCTCCTCACTCCCAGCCTCATCCCATGACCAACCCTCCCTCTCATCCCCACCTCCTTGACCTGACACAACCTGTCCATCTTCTCTCCCACTTATCCACTCCTCCCCCTCAGTGACCAATCCCCACCACTGCCTAAATGCAGTCACCTATCATCATCATCACACCTACCTTCCAACCCCACCCCACCCCCCTCTCTCTATTTCTGAGCTCCCTTCCCCAAGAAGGGTCCAGACCCAAAACGTCAGCTTTCCTGCTCCTCGGCCTGCTATGTTCAGCCAGCTCTGCACCTTGTTATCTCCGAGCTTAGGATTTGAACTTTCAAACTCTTATATGGAGGTAATCTACTTCCTAACTATTCAGAATTCATTTCTTTCTCAAGGAGAAACCATACTTACATATGACCCCAGAGATAGTAGGAACTGCAGATGCTGGTTAATCCAAAACAACAAGGTGCAGGGCTGGATGAACACAGCAGGCCAAGCAGCATCATAGGAGCAGAGAGGCTGATGTTTCGGGCCTAGACCCTTCATCAGAGAAGGGGGTTTTGAAATAAGTAGGGAGAGAGTGGGAGGCGGATAGAAGATGGATAGAGGAGAGGAAACAAACAGGTCGAAGAGGCGGGGATGGGGCCAGTAAAGGAGAGTGTAGGT